ACGGCTGGTGGGTCCCCAGTCCCTATTTCCGCTCATCCTTGGGGCTGAGCACAGGCCCAGTGGTGGGGGATAAAGACCCCTCAGATCCCTTCCCCACCCTGCAACCCCTTGCACAACCCTGAGGTCACTGTCCCGGAGGGAGGGCAAGGGGCTCCCTGGTGATGGCTTCTTGCATCCCTCTCACTTGCCTCCTCCACATCCCCTGGGCAGGATGTGGGTGCAGCGTGTGTTCATGGAGGGAGGAGGCCGTAAGCCTCCTGGGGGACACATTAGTGTGTGTGTTTGTTTGTGTGCGCGCGTGCGTGGGCTCCTGCTGCCTCCGCAGGGGACAGGCCCAGCCAGCTACTGAGTGAGCAGCCTGCGGCAGCCCTGACTCCCTGGGAGGACCTCCAGGGTTCCAGAAGCAACATGCAAAATAACATCAGTTCAACAAGCAGGTGCTGGAGTCCTTGCCCCCAGGCCTTCCGGAAGACACCCCAGGACGTCACACCCAGCCCAGAACAGCCCCACTCTTTGCATTCCTTCCACGATGTTCACTAGGCATTACTGCGTGCTGGTGGCCGCTCTGGGTGCGGGGGCACATGTGTGAAGGAAAGAGATGAAGCTCCCTGCCGGGAGGATCTGACCTCCCAGCAGTCTTATGGGATATGGGTACAGAGGTGAATCTGGGGGAGAGTCCATTGTTGGTATTGCGCCACTGACGTCCAGGATGGCCTCCAGGGACCCCGCCTCCTGGTATCCACGGTCCCCATCGTATTGGCACAGATGTCCAGGAAGCAGCTGTGGTCAGTGACTCCCCAGGAGGCATGCCTGGACCTGGGGCCAGAGCCTGCCCTGCACCTGTGCCTCATGTGACACCAGGGCAGGGCACAAGCTAGTCCCAGCACCTGCGGTCCCCGTGGCACACCCCTACCTGTTAGCACACTGAGTCCTCCCTCGTCATCATCCCATTTGACAGATGGAGAAACTAACACAGGGAAGACTGAGAGAATTGCCCTAGGCCACAGACCAGCACATGGCAGAGTTAGGATTCCCGCCAATGCCAAACCCAAAGCCCAGATCCGAACCACTGACTGGGCCTGACCTCCTTCCTAGGACCCAGAATGATCACCTCAGGTCACCCAAAGAGGAAGGAATAATGTCATCAACCAGCTCCCGAAGAAGATAGGAGCATGTGCAGTCGGCACTGGCAAAATTTAAGCTTAAAGAGAGATCCTCTCCAGCCTCAAAGAACTGACTTTGGATCAAGACTTCTCACTAAAGGAAGGTTCTGGCCAGCTCAAATGTCTTGTACTCCAGAATCTACAATAAAGAGACAGTTAATGCCTTTTGCAGGAACTGGAAGTAGGTTTCCAGGTACCTACTGGACTTATCATTCAGTGTTGATAAGTAGGACCCTGGAGATTAATCAAGGCAGGAACTTGCTCCCTGGAGCCCTGGGGTTAAGCGCTAGGACGAATTCTGTATAACGATGCTGTTGGCGGCTACAGCGAGCATTTATTGATCACACGCTCATGGGGCAGCTGGTTCCCAACGTCACAGAGAAGCTGGGGTTGCCTGGTCTAGGTGGGGTGGCTCTTTCATATGTAGCAGGGTGGATTGGGGCGTATGTGTCCCATGATGATGGCAGAGCCCAGGGGCAAGTCTCTGTGACTGAGGCCAAAGCAAGTCACATGGCTGCACAGGAGGGCAAGGCCAGGAGTTCACCCTCCGACGTATGTGTGCCTGTGTGTATGTATGTGTGTCTTTTTGCATATGTGTGTATATGTGTGTACGTATGTGTGTATATATATGTGTATGTGTATACGTATGTATGTCTATATGTGTGTGCGTGTGTAGGTGTGTGTGTGTGTGTGTATGTGTGTCTTTTTGCGTATGTGTGTATATGTGTGTACGTATGTGTGTATATATGTGTATGTGTGTATGTATGTATGTCTATATGTGTGTGCATGTGTAAGTATGTGTGTATCTGTATGTATGTCTTCGTGTACGTGTCTAGGTATGTGTGTATGTGTGTGTGTGTAGGTATGTGTGTATGTGTGTGTAGGTATGTGTGTATGTATGTATGTGTATAGGTGTGTGTGTATGTGTGTATGCAAGTGTGTTTGTGTGTATGTGTGTATATGTATGTATGTGTATAGCTGTGTTTGCTTGTGTATGTGTGCATATTGTGTGGATGTGTGTAGGTGTGTGTGTTTTGTGTATGTGTGTATATGTGGTGTAGGGGTGTGTGCGTTCATGTGTGTATATGTGTGCCTGCGTAGGCATGTGTGTGTAGGTGTGTGTGTGTATGTATGTGTAGGTGTGTGTATGCACGTGAATAGATATGTTTGTATGTGTGTGTAGGGGTGTGTGTGTGTGTGTGTGTGTGTGTGTTGGGAGAGGCAGCAAAGTCACACAGCAAAGGACATGGATGCTGGGAGAAGTGAGGCATTGGGGGTCAGTAACTCCACCTCCCATACCCTCATGCCCTCCCTATGCAAATGAGGTACCAGCTCCATCAACCAGAACATGTGGGTAGCCATAACAGGTTGTCCCCACACCAGGTCAAATCAGAAAGTGTCTTCTATTATTTTTGTGTCTCTGTCGTTGACTCCTAGGCTCAGTCCTGACCTTCCCTAGCGGTTTCTTGGCTTAAGCCATTCATTTACTTCCTGCTCTCAGCTGGGTGCACTGACTTCTTCCCAGCTCATGCGAGCAGCGCAGGCAGCTCCGACAGGGTCCAGATTCCATCTTTGATGCTGAGGTTGAAGGAATCAGAGACAGTGTCCTCAAAGCTCCTACTCAGATACCCCAGGGCACATTTGCCCCCAAAATAACAGTCATTTACCATTAGCTCCAGCAGAGAAATTTTGGTCCTGGGCCCCCCATTCTGCAGATGAGCAACTGAGGCTCCAAGAGAGGCCCTCGCCTTGGTTGGCTGTGCCCCAGGGAGTTTTGCTCCATTTCTCCATTTAGTCTGGGGCTGCTCTTCCTTGTGTGTCCTTCCCTACAATCATGTACGGGTCCACCTTTTCCAAAAAAACAGCCAGCCCTGGCCGAGTGCAGTGGCTCAAGCCTGTAATCCCAACCCTTTGGGAGACGGAGGCAGGAGGATGGCTTGAGCCCACGAGTTTGAGACCAGCCTGGGCTGCAGAGTAAGACCTCATCTCTATATATAAAAAAAAAAAAAAATTAGCCAGGCTCGGTGGTGCACATCTGTGATCCAGCTCATTGGGAGGCTGAGGTCGAAGAATCCCTTGAGCCCCGTGGATCAGGGCTGCAGTGAGCAGGGATCACGCCACTGCACTCCAGCCTGGGGAACAGCGCAAGACCCTGTCTCAAAAAGAAAAGAAGAGAGAGGGGCCTGGGGCAGCATGGGGAGGAAACTGCCAGCCCTAAATCTCATGACCCAGGCTTGCCCAGGAGCCAGAGTCCCATAAAGGGGCGATGTGGACCTTCTATCAGTCCCTGAAAGAGTCTCACCAGCGATGCCTTCCTGGGGCTCTGGCTTTGATGACAGTTCAAGACCCCCAGGATTCCTTCCTGTGTTTAAAGAAACTCGGTTTCCTGTCCTTTCACCAACTCTGCATTCAGAACCCAATTGGCAACATATTTGGCCTTTCTAGAAAAACTGCAGTTGAGAAAACACCTCCACTGGGGAGTCATAGGGGAACCGAGTATTCACACAGCCTTCAAGAACCCTCCCTGGGATTCCTGGTTAATCATGAGAAAAGAAAGAGCAGTAGCCGGTGCGCTGGCTCACGCCTGTAATCCCAGCACTTTGGGAGGCCGAGGCAGGCAGATCACGAGGTCAAGAGATCGAGACCATCCTGGCCAACATGGTGAAACCCCGTCTCTACTAAAATTACAAGAATTAGCTGGGCATGGGTGGCACACACCTTTAGTGCCAGCTACTTGGGAGGCTGAGGCAGGAGAATCATTTGAACCCGGGAGGCAGAGGTGGCAGTGAGCTGAGATCATGCCACTGCAGTCCAGCCTGGTGACAGAGTGAGACTCTCTCAAAAAAAAAAAAAAAAAGGAAAAGGAAAAAGAAAGAGAAGAAAAGAAAGAAAGAGCTGTGCCCTGGCAGACACCACCTTAACCAAATGGCCAGACCTGGTCTTGCCCTTGATGGCCAAAGTTGCTTCTTTGGCCCTGCCTGGATGCATGGGAAGGACAAGACCTCCCCAAAAAGGTTCAGCTAAATTGAATCCCAAAGCTACAGTCAGACAAATCCAAACCGAGGGACTGTCTGCAGGACAGATGACCTGAACTTTTCAAAAAAGGTCAGCGTCATAAAACCAAAAAATGAAAAATATGAGGGGTTGCTTCTAGATTGAGACAGAGGAGAGAGAAATAACCAATGCCATTTGGAGAGCCTTGAATGGATCCCAGATTTTTGTAAAGCTGTTAGGAGTTATTTTGGAATGATTGGGAAACACCGAATAGAGGATCCAGTGATACTTGAGCTAAGTATCTTAGGTACAATGCTGGTGGTGCGGTTAAGACATAACTCTCAGGTAAGTGCTGAGGGTATTGAGGGGTGGAGCTCAGGGGATTGGCAACGCACTTTCAAACAGTTCAGGGAAAAGTGTGTGTGTGCATGTGGGTGTGTGCGCATGTGTGTGTGCCTGTGTGTGCATGTGCCATGTGTGCCTATGTGTGCGCGTGTGTGCACTGCATGTGTGTCTGTACGTGTGCGTGTGTGTGCATGTGGTGGTGTGTGCATGGTGTGTGCCTGTGCGTATGTTAGGTGTGTGCCTGTGCATGTATGCATGGCATGTGTGTGCGTGTGTGCATGGAGAGAGAGGAAAAAGGGAGGAGAGGAGCGGGAATGCATACGAGTGAGATAAGAGGGAACAATTGGTGAGTGATTGGGATGAAGAGTATATGGGGATTTATTGCCATTCAATTATTTCCATTTTTATGAGGTTTGAAAGTTTTCAAAGTAGTAAGTTGGTAGGAAGAAAGTAAATGCCCATAGAGGGAGCCTCCCGACCCTTCCTGGGTCCCCCTGTCCTTGTCAGCCAACCACGTCAAGGGGAAGAGCTAGGATTTAATGACCGGATTCCTTCCTGGGCTCCAAGCATTTTCACATCTCGCTTCTCTTTGCTCCGTGACAAGTTGGGCAGGCCTTCTAAATGCCCCATGCTTCCGTTTCTCCAAATCTAAATCCGGAAGATTGCTCCAGGTCATTGGCAGACCAAGTGGAAGTGGAGCTGAAGGGAGGGAACCTAGCCTGTGGGCTCCCTGCTTGGACCCTGGGCCCTGCATCCCTCAGCTGCTAGGCCTCCCCTCTTGGGTCCGGTGGGTTGGCAAACGGTTTCTGAGGCCTGTCTCCCCAGTCCCGGAGGTATAGGGACCCCGGGGCCACCCAGCTTAGCCGTGCCTGCTTCCCTCTGCACTGAAGGAGCCACTGCGCCCATCCTGGAACTCACACTATCTCCCTAAGGATGTCGGCTCCACAGGGATTGGCTGCCTGGCAGATGCAGTCGCTCCTGATTGGACAGTGGCATCTGCAGCTCGAGAAGGTGGACTCCGGGCCAGTTGGCTCTGCCTGTGTGTCTTGCATCCTGAAATGCAAAGCAGGGGCTGTGGGGAAACCTCACCAACCCCTCCTCACCTGGGAGGTGGCAAAGGTGGTGGGATGTGCTGCTGGGCCCCTGGGGAGGAAAGACACAGAGGCTGTGTTGGTGGCCCGCAGTTCCTTGTAAGGTGGTCAGCAAACGGTGTACACTTTCCGCCTGTGGCTGCAGGTTGGAGAGCTGGCGGCTAGCACAGACACAGCTTGACCTCAGGTCAACACTTCTCGGAGTCCAGAGGGGTGGGGAGTGGGACAGGTGGCCTCCCAGGGACGCCTCCCTGAGTGGCCAGCGGTGCCGCTTGCCCCTGCACCGGTAGCTGCCCTGAGCACCCCCACTGGACACAGCGGGGATTGCACCCTCCGGAGAAGGCTGCCCTTGTTCCGCATGGGAGCCCCATCCCCAGCGCCCTGGGCCGTGCTACCTGCAGTAAAGCAGACCACCAGCCCCGGCTGCCTCTCCAGTGCTCTCTCTCCTCCCGCCTTCAGCAGGCTGGGTCCCAGAGGCATCCACCCACTCATTCATTCACTCAACAAATACCTGTTCCGTGTCTACTAGGTGCCAGGCACAGCTGGGAACCAGCAGACAAATCTCCCTGCTTTCCCGGAGCCGGCATCTTGGTGGGCAGACAGCACAAGCCAGACGAGTAGGTGGAGGAGAAGGCATGTGAGCAGGTGACAGGCGCTGGGGAGAAACAGCCCAGGGGCGGGAACAGGGAGTGTGGGGGAGACAGGGATTGCGATGTAAGGGAGGTGTCCAGGGAAGACCTCCCCCAGATGGTGACCTTGGCATAAAGAGGCAAACATGGGAGGGGGCTCAGGCAGACCATGGTGGTCAGAAGTTGAATTCGGGCAGGCGGAGGGGAGTGCATGAAGCCCTGAGGTGGGAGTGACTCTGTTTGCTGGGTTCACAGACCCCCAGGGAGACAGTGTGGCAGGGGCCAGTGTGTGAGGGGCTTGGCGGGGGGCTGTGGCTAGAAAGGTTGTGGACCCACTGTTAAGATCGGACTTTGGCTCTGAATGGAATGGAAGCCGTAGGAAGGTTTGGAGCAAAGCAATGACATAATGGAACTTATGTTCTGCGAGGATCACCCTGGCCACGTAGAGTCTGCCGGCAGGGTTCGAGGTGGGCACAGGGAACGCTGTGAGGAGCAGCACAAGAGCCTGGGCCTGGGAGGAGCCAGGGACAGGCATGGGGCCCCTGGCCCAGTAATGGACTGGATGTGGGAGGCGGGACGTGGAGGAAGGGAGAAGTTGGGGTGACTCCTGGGAGTGGGACTGACACCTGTGAGGGTGGGGGGCCACTCTGGGAAGAGCTCGGCTGGGGTGAGGGCAGTCGGAAGCTCAGTGTATGACCCGGGAATCTGAGGCACACGTTCCCCACCCTCGTAGCGGAGCACCACAGGCAGGAAATAAACAGCTCTGGGGTTCAGGGGAGAAGTAGAGGGGGTGGGGTCTGCAGCATAGCGACGGGGTTCAGAGCCACGAGATGGGCAGAAGTCTGAGGGGTGTGGTGGGGAGGGAAAAGAAGAGGTTCAAGGCCTGAGCAAGGGCAGCCACTGGAAGACAGAGATGAGCAGGAAGAGCCCAGGAGACTGAAAAGGAGTGGCTGGAGGGACGGGAGGGGGCATGGAGTCCTGGCAGCTGGGGAAACCGCAGGCAGAGCCTCTGTCGCCCTGATAAAACCGGCACCGCTGGACCTAGCAACAAAGAGGTGACCGCGACCTTGGCAAGTGCAGCTCCCACGGAGTGGTGAGGGCAGAGGCTCATTGGAGTCGGTTTATGAGCCGGAAGAAGGAGACGAATCGCAGACAAGTGAAGGAAAAATTTGAGGAATTTTCTTGTGAATGGAAGGTGAGAAACAGGGGAGAAGAAAGTGGGTCAAAGAAATTGTGCTTTTTAGGCCGAGTGAGGTGGCTCACACCTGTAATCCCAGCATTTAGGGGGGCCGAGGCGGGCGGGTCACTTGAGGTCAGGAGTTCTAGACCAGCCTGGCCAACATGGTGAAACCCTGTCTCTACTAAAAATAAAAAATTAGCCAGGTGTGGTGGTACACTTCTGTAATCTCAGGTACTCAGGAGGCTGAGGCATGAGAATCACTTGAAGCCAGGAGGCGGAGGTTGCAGTGAGCCAAGATTGAGCCACTGTACTCCAGCCTAGGCGACAGAGTGAGACTCTGTCTCACACAAAAAAAGCAACTGTGCTTTTTGTTTTATTTGGACGATGAGAGAAATAATAACTCATTGGGTGCAGCTGGCAGTGCCTCCTGAAGAAGGAGGAATGGGCTTGGGATGCCCTTGAGTGGGCGTGGGGCTGGGAGCAGCCATGTGGCCAGGGACACTGTGGGGCCGGTTCACTGGGTAGCCACAGGAAGGAAGGTGCCTTTGAACATAGATCGTGTCCCTGTGTGGGGAAGGTGACTTTTGGTTGCTTGTGTTTTCTCAGGGGTCTGGGAAGCAGCAGTGGCAGCTGAGGGTGATGTGGAAGGGAGGAGTGGCCAGGTGTCCCCTGAACCTGGGAGAGAGGATGGCGTAGAGCAGGTGCCCACAGACTCTTTCTGTAAAGGACCAGATAGTAAATAATTTAGGCTTTGCCAGCCAGCAGTCT